CCACTGAAACACTGTGACATGAGCCAGCATGGCACTGATCAATGAGATCATTAACCTTGAAAGACATTAATGATCGTGGCTAAACGCTAAGTTGCTAAACAACAGTGGACAGCTCTGATTGGTCACATGTGTCACAGTGACCTCTAAAAGTGGCAGAGCAATTTTAATCACTGTGCATCATTAACACAGTAATTAAAAGATGGTCGCTTGGATCAAATTGCCTCGGTTGCATTCAAGATTTGTCAAGACAATTACAGAGTGGAAATATATAAGATATTACACATTTCTTTGACAGGTTTCCAAACTTTACCAAGCTCAAAATGGGGAGTTTTCATACCAAGATGACCCCTTCAGCCTCTCTTTTTGTTGTTTTTCTTTTACATTTCATGAATATAAATCAGGTTGGTTTTGATGTCAGCACTTTTGAACATGGAATTGACTTTTCTCTCTCTTTCTCTGTCCTGAGAGAGATTTAACCGACTTAGCGTTTTTCACTCTGAAAGGTTCTTGGAATGTGTGTGTGTGTGTGTGTGGTGTGTCGTGTGTGTGTGTGTGTGTGTGTGTGTGTGTGTGTGTGTGTGTGTGTGTGTGTGTGTGTTGTGTGTGTGGTGTGTGTTGTGGTGTGTGTGTGATGGTTGTGTGTGTGCTGTGTGTGTGTTGTGTGTGTTGTGTGTGTGTGTGTGTGTGTGTGTGTGGTGTGTGTGTGTGTGTGTGGGTGGGTGGGGTGTGTGTGTGTGTGTGTAGTGTGTGTGTGTGTGTGTTGTGTGTGTGTGTGTGTGTGTGTGTGTGTGTGTGTGTGTGTGTGTGTGTGTGTGTGTGTGTGTTTGTGTGTGTGTGTTTGCATCCAGTACAGTGTATCATATGCACATACACACAGCAGGGCATGGACAGTTGGCCTCGTTTTCTACTGAGAGAGAGGCGAGGGGGTAAACAGATCCTAAATAAGTATGACAGAAGAGAGATTTTATAACATGACGGACGGATGACCAGATGAACTGAGAGGGAAAGAAAGCAAACAAGACCAGGGACAAGACTATGGTGATGAAGTCATAAAGAAATGAAAAGATTACAAAGGATGGAGGACAGAAGATGAACTAAATGTGCTCCTTTTTCACAATAAACACGTTCTAATGCTGATACTCAACTGTTAGAAATAATAACAGAGATGTAAAAGTCTCATAATGTCAATGCTGAAGACAAAAAGAACAAAAGCACACACACACACACACACAAAACTTTGTAAAAGCCAGATCTCTCAGTGTGTGGGTGTGTTCTTTCTCACAGGAATGTTGATCTGATAATGGGATTAATACTAAAAGCTCCAGTGACTGACTGTTTTCTTCCTCTGTGTCTCTCCAGGGTCACCGAGGACTGAGGGCATCAAGGCGTCCGATGTTCTTCCTGTGTTGAAGGAGAAAGTTGCCTTCGTGTCAGGTGAGTTGCAGTGCTATAGTGAAATCACATTCATCACGTTATATAGGGTGTGCTAGAGGTGTGTGAGATCACGTCCAGGTTACTGAGACCATAGAAACCTTTATCAAAACACATCAGAAAGTCAGGCAAAAGGTGTCCTCCTAAATTGTACCGTATGTTCTGAATCCAGAGTTTCCGCTTAAGTGCTTTCTAAAAACACTATTTATAAATGTTTTTAATGAGAAATTAACCAATTCAGAAGTTAAGAGACTTCATGTTGTTTCAGATAGATAGATAGATGGATAGCTGGATAGATAGATTAAAGCAAATAAACAATGCCCAACAATAATGTCAGCATTCAAACAGATCTTCATTCCCGATAAATTTGACATGTCACCAATTTAACCTGGAATTCCAATGATAACGATAACACCAGAATTGAGATGTATTACTTTGTATTTAAATGAACATCACTCGTCACATAACATTACATTTTGGGTTGATTCATGATTCTAAAAGGGTTCATCTCTGAGTCACATTGGTGCAGAGTTGCGCATACCATCATTTCCGAAGTGTGTGATTTGTTTTCACCTGTTAATGAGCCGATTGGATTTTTTAACCTTCATTCATTGTAAAATGTTCTTAAAATGATCCAACGCTAACTATATCTCATACAGCAAGTTAATTACAGCAGCTAGCATTGCTCTGTCTCTAACTTGTCTCTGACTTAAGACCTAAGAGCTACAGTAAAGTGCCTTGTGAATTACTTTTAAAACCAAAAACTTGGGAGTAATAAAAGAAAACAAGGTCTGACACATCCATCATCTCCAGGAGTCTCTCCTAACTCAGCCAAATACAGAAGCAGCAACTGTTAGCCTTAGGGTGTTTATTAAATACATCACAAATCTCTCGCTGGTCTTGGACCTCCTTTGTCAACTCCTCAATGTCCACCCCCTCATCAAAGACAGTAACAAGTCTGCAAAACTGGGGATATGAGAGTGGTCTTCAGGAGGAACCACCCTCAATGATCAAACTTCACAGCGCTGTGTCCGCCTTTCAACGTTCAGGACTGCAGAAGAGATCACTGGTGTGGACCCGGACCGTCACACCTCCTGAGACAGGAAGCGGGCAGGGAAAATCATCGAAGAATATTCTCACCCTTGAGCGTAACTTCCCTCCGGCGCTGCAGCTCTCTGTTTGCCAAAACAAGCAGCGAGAGCAGATTCAGGAACTGTTTCACTCCACAGGCCGTCATATTCACAAACACTCAGCCAGTACTTGGATTCTACACAAACAAGATCCAACGTCACATGACCTGACATTTGGATATACATTTTGTTCCACGATATATACAGTATATTGCAATTTGAAACAAAACAGGAGATATTGACCAAACACCAGTTTTTGGTCAACATAATTCTTTCTGTCCCTGCTTTATTTCGAAACAACAGACATTTCTTTTTGCAGCCAAATTGTCCTACTTCTTCTTCGGTTCCACGTTCATTCCCAGGTTGTGGACAACAACTAGCCGCATCTGCTTTGGTTGTTTCTTAAATTGAAATGCCTTTGCAGACCATTTACATGCACAGAACATATATAAAATCACAAAAAGCACAATAGGGCTTCTTAAAAAGTCATAATTTGTTCTGTGTATACTGAATGTAATGCAATGTACAAAATGGCTCTTGGTATTTTATGTAAAAAATGAAGGTGGAATGATTTATCAAAAGAAAATACCGGGCATTCCCTACAGTAGTTACACTTTTAAATAATATTTGTTGGGTTTGGAGATCTTTTGTAGACATATTATTTAATCATAATAATGAAAATAATCGTTGGTTCAATGGCTCAAATAAAACTGAATAAAATAAGAATCTAAATCAGAACATTTAATTCTTCCTGGGGGGAAAACAAAAAATGTGGGCAACAATAATTACCTTGGAATAATTTACTGCATGATCATAATACAGTATTGGAATGGCATGTTTTCCCTACATACTAATTGCTCGCAGTGGTACAAGATTTAAGTGCTGTTTTTAAAATGGGCCTGGTTCTTTCCTTCCATATTTTAGTAATGTACACCGGTGAAAATGTTACCCTCTAATTTTTTTAAAGGGAGAGACAAAGAGAAAGTAAGTGAGACAGTGATATATGGAGAAGGCCAACAACAATCTGTCATCAAGATTCCTCCTTAGATTACAGCAGCGTGCTCCCTCCCAAAACACACAGTTAAACACAGTTAAACACAGTTAAACACACACACACACACACACACACACACACACACACACACACACACACACACACACAACACACACACACACACCCACACCCACACACAGACCCGATTTTCCACGACTGAGTAGCTGTTTCATAAACAGTGTGGTTTGTGTTTCTTACATTAATCTAACCAAAACATCTCTAAACACATCATTTATCAGAGAGAGGGAGGGCGGGAGTTTGTATCTCGGATCACTTTCGGAGACTTTGGAGAGTGTTTACTGGCTGCTGTAGCCGTGGTGAGAGTTAAGTTACAGATACAGAGATACCAAAGCTATTAGTGTGAAGTAATGTGCAGATTAACACTGCTACGGTCTGCCTGCTGATAATGCAGTGACAGTGGTTTCCTAGAGTAAAGTCTGCTCTGTCATTTCAGTTCTCTAATGGTTTCTCCATTGATTTTCCAATTTGTGTGTCATTTTTTATTTTAAAGGATTTATCATGTACTGCATGAGAAATAAATGACATGTGTTTTTGTTCAGGCTGACGCTTGAATTCTATCTTGAACATAAAAAAGTGTTTTATTCTTTATCCTTCAATGTTCATGAACAACTGCTAGACCAGTTGTATAAGTAGTGCTGCTCAAATTACTGTCACAACTAGAACTACTACTACTACTACTTCTACTACTACTACTTCTACTTCTACTATTAATACTAAAATGAGTTAATTGGGATTCCTTATGTTGGGCGGCTCTGTGTTTTTTAGGGGGGTTACTGTACCTTAAACTGGAATTAATTTACATTTTACAGTAATACAATACACACACCCTTTTTTATGGATATCCCAACATTCCCATGTTACATGTCACTTGTTAGATGCTTTTTATCCAAAGCGACTTACATACTCAATACTGTGGACAATCACCACAGGAGCAATTTGGGGTGAAGTGTCTTGCCCAGGGACACAACGACATGCTGACTGCAGTGGGGTTTGAACCTGTGACCCCCTGATCCCAACACCTACGGACAACCCACTACGCCACACGCCCCACCATGTCTTGTAAAAGGGCCATTTTGATATCCAATTTTCTTGCAATCCCGCTAAACAAAAGCAAAAAATAAGAAAAACAATTATTCATTGGTGTAAACGTCAAAATATTGTATTTCTCTGTCACATTGAAATAAACAGAGGACTGCTTTCAATATACATATCAGAGCTGCACTATATTAGAAAAAAGGACATTGTAATTTGAAAAGTGACGGCAATAACTTAAAAATAATTCAACTTCTTCAAAGTGTTTTGCATTATAAAGTAGAATGTAACTGTGTGCCCTGAGCAGCAGAAGAATAATCCCCCAATCAGTGCAGACACTAGTGACGGAGGTGGCTGATGATCCTGCTGAGACTGAAAGGCTGATGAGGATGATTACAATTACAATGCTGATGAATCTGCAAAGTCTCTGCGGTGATTGGGAGGTGGAGGGGGCTCGTGTCACATCACCATGAACACACTACAGACAGAGAGAGAATCGTATTTAACAAGAGAGAGCAGCAAGATGATAGGCTCACAATGTAGGTGTGTTGTTATGCTGCTGGATAGATGTGAGCAATTCATAATCATGATTGACAGCTGTAGACAATGACAGCAGAGGAAAGGATGAGTTGGCATGTGTGAAAGGAGTGAATGGCAGGATACATGAGAAATAAAACAGTGGCCTGAGCATGCAACATAATAGTTCCTCAACTGAACTCAAGCTTGAACTTTATTACTACAACTGCTACTACAGTAGGTCTACAACTTCTGCTACAGCTACTACTACCAGTGCTTTGACAACTAGTACTGCTACTACTTTCCCACATCAACAACAACAACTACTGCAACTACTGTTATACAATACTTTTTATCAGGATGAATTCCCTTTTGGTCCTATAAACAATGTATTTGTAACAATATGACTGCAGTTTTGCAAACATTGCAAACGTGGCAGCATTACTGTAAACATCAAACTTATATATTTTTTACGTGTGCATTCAAAGGTGGGCGCGATAAAAGAGGAGGACCGATCGTGACGTTTCCTGCTAGAAGTAACCACGACCGAATAAAACAGGAAGACCTGAGGAGGCTGGTGACCTACCTGTCTACTGTTCCCAGGTACACACACACACACACACACACACACACACACACACACACACACACACACACACACACACACACACACACACACACACACACACACACGTTCACAGCTTTCATGTATCGCCTTGTTATCAATCCTTCTATTTAGGACAACAACATTTAGTGAACTAGACTTGTTAGCAGGGAGAGGTGCAGGGTGGTGTGTGTGTGTGTGTGTGTGTGTGTGTGTGGAGTGGCTCAGTGGTGTCCACGCTGGGAAATCAAATGCTCCTTTCTTCCTCATCACAGCAGCAGACTGAGAGCAGCGTTCGATTTGCATCAGCATGAAAGCTGCAGTGTTTGCAGCAGACAGCGGCGAGAGTGTCACACTTCACTTCAAGTCCATTTATTTCTGCCGCTCCTCTTCACAGTTTGAGGATGTTGCAATGATTGAGCTGCTCTACAGACAAACTGTTTAATAATCTCTCACAGTCCATGCCCTGTGGCTTTCGGAATATAAAAGAAAAAGTAAAAACATACAATCTTTAGTCCGTTATCTGGCTAAATTAGCAGAGTGACATTTAGTGAGTGAGTGTCCTTGAATGCAACAACAGGGGGACTTTGTAATCTGGTAAGGGCTGGCGATAGTATAAGACAATGTAAAATGTCTATCGTATATATTTTTCTACATTGTTTCTATCACGACTAGACTAGGCTTATATTCATTTATGTTTTCACATAAAAGGTCATTTTGCACTAAAGTTCTTAAAATGAGAAGATACTCTGTAGTAGATCTTCTTAATCTACTTAATACTAAATCTACTAAAATATGTAGTTGCTAAATCATGTATGGTTTGTGTTTATGTATTGTTATCAAAATAGGAAATTACCTTTATCTTTACAGAAGATTTTGGCCACATTACGCATCCCTGGGAACTGCAGACAGTCTGCATGTTACCACATGTACCTGTCTGCCTAAAGCACAGTGTGCTTCAAATTGGGCGAGCCCAAAATCTGTATTATCATCTGATCCCAATCAGCCGCGCTCTGATTCCTCCTGCTTATCGAGCTGCTGTTTCCATGGTGACGAGAGGAGTTTGTGCTTCCCTGAGGCCGAACTATAATGGATGTGCTTTTGTTGAATTTTTAATAATAGAGGTTGGGTGTGAGTGTGTGTGAAGGTGAGGTTATTTCAGTATATTTTTACTCTCCAATCAGTGAGCAGCTGAATTTAAGGTCATTAGACTCCAGTATACACAGCTGGCTCTCTGCACTGGTTTCACAGCGGCTACTGCTCACCAGTTTATGAGAGTTGTCTAATCACATGTCCAATATTTTGATTTAACTTTATTTAAATTAAACTTCTAGCGTTATATTTGACTACCCTTTTTTAAATCAAGCCTTTATTTTTATGTTTTCTTTTCCGAATGTACAGACAATTACAGCCTATGTTATGTGTTGCCTACACTGCACAGCCCACATGTACACATCACTTAACATGCCTCGCTAAATCACCATCTGGAAGTCATTCTGGTGTCTCCATAATAACATTTATTTACATATGTGAATGTGACCCAAAACCAATCTAGAAATATGTATTTCAGTGTTTTTTTTATCTTACTTTCCGGATAATCATCTGATCTGAACCACATGTAGCCAAAACTAAAACTGAATTAATTTGACGAGGTGATGTAAGTGTTAAAGGGATAGTGTAACATTAAGGGAAGTATGCTTATTGAGATGAGAAATACAGCTCCCATATCTGTCTTGTACATTTACTGTAAGGCTAATGAAAGTGTATAGTTGGCTTAGTTTGGCACAGAAATGTAAAAAGTCGAGACCTCAGGGAATCAGTTAGTTGTCTTAAAAAATTCATAATTCTCATCAAAAGGCATATTTAAAATAATAAATACTGCCTCATTTAGGATCAGTACAGACTATTCCTTAGACTTCTTTCTTTTAATAATTACTCCGATGTAACAGTCAGACAAGAATTAAGCAAGCTTTTATTGAACTAATTTCTCTGTTTATGATTTTAAAAGTCATCTCCCATTTCCTCTTACCTCTCCATTGTCTTCCTCTCCGTCCACCCTGTGTCTCCACTCAGTGAGGATGTATGTAAACGTGGTTTCACCGTCATCATCGACATGCGTGGTTCTAAGTGGGAGCTGATCAAGCCTCTGCTGAAGACCCTGCAGGAGTTTTTCCCCGCTGAGATCTGTGTGGCGCTCATCATCAAGCCGGACAACTTCTGGCAGAAACAGAAGACCAATTTTGGCAGTGCGAAGTTCTCGTTTGAGGTCAGCGGGTGTTCAATGTTTTCTTTCATCCAATCTCACTTCAGATTAGATGTGTTTAGACAAAACCAATGTTTATCTTATATAGTCCTAACTGTGGAAGGATTGAGTGCTAAAGCAGGAGTTCAAAGAAATCTCGGAGGCATCATAACTTATTTGCTTCTGGTTAGCACTACTTCTCATATGATGCCTCATTTTAATGCAGCACATGCAGATCCCTGTCAATCTTCCAAAAAATATGCAAAGATTTTCTGGTTTTATCCAGATTTGTGTTTACATTGTCTGGATGTGTAGAAAACAAGTAAGTAGATAATGTTCTGACTACTACTAATGGTTCCCCTCATTTAAGCAGATTAGTTTAGTGGATATAACAATTTGGTAAAGGTTACCTTCTCTACTTCATGGGGTCACTGGTACATATGACACAAACCTGGATGATCTGTCACTGCTAAAAACAACATGCATTTTTATATTTCTCTTGATTTGTTGTTTGTGTGTATCAGACCAGCATGGTGTCAGTTGAAGGTCTGTCTAAGCTGGTGGACCCCTCCCAGCTGACGGACGACTTCGAAGGCTCTCTGGACTACAACCATGACGAGTGGATGGAGCTGAGAGTCTCCCTGGAGGAGTTCATCTCCAACGCTGCTCACCTGCTGTCCCGTCTGGAAGACCTGCAGGTGGGGGGGGGGGGACAGATACATGGGCAGATGAATAAAGGGTCAATCAGGGGAAAGATGGATGAATAGTCGGATGGTTTGAAGCCATTTGTGCCAATATGAGGACATTTTCTGTGTGTTGCAGGAGCTTCAGTCCAAAAAGGAGTTTCCTGCAGATGTGGAGGGATCTCGACGCTTGATAGATGAACACACACAGCTGAAGAAAAAGGTAACATAGCTGCACACTGTAGAACGTTTAAATAAAATAGTTCCATTGCCATTAGCTGGGCTGAAGCCAGCAGACCTCCTTGTTAAACATCATCGTGTTATTTATCATTGCATACAACTTTGATTCATTTAAAGTACTCTTTCCCCTCTCCTAGGTGCTGAAGGCTCCAGTGGAAGAGCTGGACCGAGAAGGCCAGAGGCTGCTGCAGTGTATCCGATCTAGTGATGGTTTTTCAGGGAGGAACTGCATCTCAGGCTCTGCTGACTTCCAGAGTTTGGTGCCCAAGGTACGTTCACTCCAGCTGGGAATAAAGACAGCTGATGAGACTCCACAATTATATAATCTCTTAACAAATCATGTTTTAATCAATGATAGAGTAGGGATTAAGGGCCCCCAAACATGCACAGGTGAAAAAATAACAAAAACTGGGATTTTCTGTCAACATGAAGTATGGCAGTAAATATCAAACACAAAATAAACTTCACTTGCTTGATGCCCCTACCCACATTCGGAATTTCCCATCATTAAAACATGTAAACACTAAAATCACACTGTACAATAATGCATGACTAAGTGCATAGACTTTGTCACCTGGTATAGGCCCTCAGCTTGTTAGCGTCTCTCGTTGTTGCTAATGAGAAGTAGTCGCTGCATGTTAGCTCGTTAGCCGCAGGAATCCACAGGAAGAGTTGTCAGAGAACACAGTGCGTTTCATTGCAGAGGTTGTCTCTACATAAAGCACATGTAGAGAACAGAACATAACTGAGAACATGCATTGTGTCACAGACCTGCAAACAACAACAAATATACGTTATGAAACAAAAAACAATAACCTGGATCTGTGCAAGTTAAGTCTTATAACTTGATTAGGAAATAGGCATGAAGTACTGTACACTTTGGAATTACCTGCAAAACAACTAACAAGGATAACATATATACATTAGATGGCTTAGTACAGGCCAATTACACTGTCCAACCGTAAATAGCATAACATTAAACCAGTTGACCTGCAAACTAAATGGCTAAGATTTCATAAGAGACATCATCTTACAATTCTTATTTGCTGTTTTTCCAGGTGGCCAGTCTGCTGGATAAGCTCCACTCCACACGGCAGCATCTCCATCAGATGTGGCACGTGAGGAAGCTGAAGCTGGACCAGTGCTTCCAGCTCCGTCTGTTCGAACAGGACGCAGAGAAGGTGAGTCACACCTGAGCCTGAGGTCAGAAGAGGAGATCCAATTATCTCTAGGAATAAAGGTGTAATATATCAGATCAGTCCGTTCTGTAAACTGAGTCAACACATCGTAATGAGGAAGTGGGAGCTACAAATATGTTCAAAGGCTGAACAAGGTTGACATATTTTTATATTTGCCAACAATTTGTAAAATTTGAGTGTTATTATTATTTGTATTAATTAATTAATTGTGTGTTCTATTTGGCTTACTTTTACTGAGTGCGTTGGATTCATTTAACAACAACGCCAACATCCAGTCTTTCCTCTTTATGTTCATCCTTACCTCCATCTTGTTTCTCAACATCTGTTTGGGTTCCTTCCTCTAGTTCAGTGTCATACACGTTTTTTTTTACCTTGTGTCCTTTCCACATCTGTGTCACTGTAAATGTCTCCGGAAACTCCTCAGTGAACTGAATGAATTAGCCTGTCTATGTAAACACAGGAACTCAGTTAGCAGAAAATCCAACAGAAAATCAGCCGTCCTCTCTTCACCCAAACCAGCTAAGTGATTAGCTGCGGTTCGGACTGAAAGCCTGGAATCCATTTTTCATGATCATAAACATCCCATTGACTGCAACATGCAGACACATTTTAGTTTCACAGACGCTATTCATAGAAAGATCACACTCTCTGGTTATTCAGGTCATTGCAACTTCCAGAGTTTTTTTATTCTGTAGTCGCCACTCCATCGCTAAAAAATCATCTACAAAAACATTGAAAACCATTTCATAATACATAATGGAATACTGCAAACCGATCAATCCTCAATCCAAATCCAACTTTATTTTCATAGGTCTTTTTTATACAAAAAAGGGAACACAAAGTACTTCACAAACTAAATACAACTGCCTTTACATCTAAGGTAATAAACAGAGTAACACATGTGATGAATACAAACACTAAATACCAGCAGAAGTCCATAAACACAGTATTGAATAAAACAAGAATAAATACAATTCAATTAAAAGCCAAGTGGGTCTTAAGTTGGCTTTTCAGGTCTTCTGGGACGCTGTTCCACAACCGTGGGCCGTAATATGGGTCTTTGTTTACATTTTTAACGAAGTAAATACAGATTATCCCGGTGACAAAGCTCACAGTTATAAATATGAGTTTAAGCGAGGACATGGATCCAGGATGGCTGAACCAAGTTAACCCACAGCCTCGCCTCGCCTCTAACAGAGATGTGTTTGGTGGAACCTTAAGTGTTGTTGATGGTAGTGCAGCCTGTACTCACACACACACACACACACACACACACACACACACACACACACACACACACACACACACACACACACACACACACACACACACACACACACACACACACACACACACACACACACACACACACACACCGAGAGGCGTCAGCTGACTTGACGTGTTTTCCATACAGAAATCCACATGCAGGAGCCGTAAATATTTACTGTAAAGCAAACAGAGAAAATGAAACAGTTTTGTCCTCAGTGTTGGGATGCTGATGGTCTGTGAGGGGGGGGGGGGGGCCCCGTTTACACCGTGGGAAACAGTCACCGCTCGCAGGGAACCAGTCAGACCTGACGAGGTGTTTGTCTGCGGTGAAATCACTGCTGGAGGAATGACTGTGTAGTAACCATGGTAACCACACAGTCTTCACAATCGGCCTCCATCTGTCTGTGGAGATTGATTGAGACGGAGAAGCATGCGTGAAGGTTGTCCTGTTCTCTGAGGCTGCATCTGATCAGCCCGTGAAGAGGGAAGCCGACTAAAGACTCTGCAGTTCATGGTTTTAAAGAAACACTTTAAACTGTTTGTTAACCCCCTGGGTCATGTTTATGTTATTTTGGCCGCAGTTTCTCTCCGTTATGGCAACATTTTACTCACAAACCTGATTGTAGACACACACGGTTAGTCAGCGCCGCCGCTTGAAAACGCTAGACATAATGTTATGAACTTTGATACAAATACATCATGCGAAGGCTTATATCAAAGGATGAATTACAGTTTTAGGACTCGCCAACTGTCGGTATGTGTGTCTGCTAATGACACGTTCTTCTGCACATGCTGAGAAAATTCGTCAGCGTTTTATTACATTGCGAAACTTCATTCTTGATCTTGGAAACAGTAGTTTGACAAATAAAGCTCCTCTTACTTACGTTTAACCACAGAAAGTCTTAAAACTGTCAAACTGTTTGAGTTGAAAAATCATTTTGAATTGATCAAACGGTCTTTCACATGTGCTTATACGATGTGGTTTTCCAAGTTAGCATATATGCAATGCAATGGGATAAAATAAGTGCATGTATAGCATAGTTTGTAATGTTATTAATATTGCATTGTGTGTGTGTGTGTGTGTGTGTGTGTGTGTGTGTGTGTGTGTGTGTGTGTGTGTGTGTGTGTGTGTGTGTGTGTGTGTGTGTGTGTGTGTGTGTGTGTGTGTGTGTGTGTGTGTGTGTGTGTGTGTGCGTGCAGATGTTCGACTGGATCAGCCACAACAAGGAGCTTTTCCTGCAGAGTCACACAGAGATCGGGCGAGGATACCAACACGCTGTGGAGCTGCAGACTCAACACAACCACTTTGCTATGAACTCCATGGTAACGTCGTCAAAGATATTGCCCTCACATTACATGACCATAGTTCTCAGAGTTTACAATCTTTATCGACACACGGCCAGGGTTTGTGCTAGAACCTGTTTATCTTACCGTCAAAGTTCTCCCCCAAAATCTCAAATACATATTTGTCCTTGTTAGAGATATCCTGTAAAAATATAGCTTAGGAAATGCCTGTCTTCTGTTAAATACATTCAAACGATATGTCACTCAGCATGTGGTGTTCAAAGCAGTAGATAAAATACATTTTAAATAAAAATGTCTTCCCTCGCTAACAGCCTTTTGTAAATGTCTGTATTTTCTCCTTCCCAGAATGCCTATGTAAATATCAACAGGATCATGTCGGTGGCGAGCCGCCTGGCAGAGGCCAGTCACTATGCCTCCACACAGATAAAACAGATCTCCACTCAGCTGGATCTGGACTGGAAAAGTTTTGCCGCTGCACTCGACGAGCGCTCCACCATCCTCGCCATGTCGTCTGTGTTTCACCAGAAGTCTGAGCAGGTGAGATCGTGTGAAAATAAATCTAAAATAGCTTTTTTTCTCAACTGAGAGCTGTTAAAAGCAATCTGTGCCCAGTGTATCCTCCTATAACCTGTTGTAAGGACTTCCCGTTCACATCTCTCTCATTAGAGGGAACGCTGCTCCACTTACTGTGAGACTGCTGGTGCTTCGTTGCTGATTTGGCAACTATCTAATCTAGGAATCTCTCTGCAGCAGACTGCATCATGTCCAGAATGCAAATAGACCTTTTGAGGCGTCTGATTATATTTAATAGATCAAACTGCTCCACTGCTGATTCTTGGAAAGTTGACATGGCAACATATGAGGCTTATTTGATTCCTGCTGGGCTCTTGACATCAGCTACAAGTGTACGACTGAGAGAGCGGGAGATGAAAGACTCAAAGAGAGAGAGAGAGAGAGAGAGAGAGAGAGAGAGAGAGAGAGAGAGAGAGAGAGAGAGAGAGAGAGGGTGGTGGCGGAGAGAAGGGATTTGCTGAGATAGACTAATGAAAAACAGGGGAACAAAAAAGTGTCAGGATGAAAGATGAAAAGATGAATGATTGGAAGAGAAACACAAGGGAGAAAAAATTGGCAAGTCTGCATAGAGAATAAGAATTAGTGTGAAAATGAGAGGTTTAATGAGGTAAAGGCTTCTCTTCATCGGCAGACACATTAACCCTAAATTACCTCAAAAATAGCAACGCTAACATCCTCTAGAGTGTTCATTCATGAAATATATGTACCCATTATGTAAATATGTCCCAAGAGTGGTGTTAGAGAAAAGATCACATATTAATTAAAATCAAAAGGATTTGAAGATGGGATTCTTTTTCTAATCGTGTGACCTAAAATTGAGTTTTATCAGATACTCAAGTTGATGAATGCTTAATAATCCTCACACAACCTCTACATGTATCTACAATAGCTGATATCAATAAAGACAGAGAAATTGTAAATAAAGAACAATAAATGAAAGTATGTTCGGGACCCCCTTGAAAACGAGATGGTGCATCTCAAGGGGTTTATCCCAATAAATACATTTCTATATATATATATATGTAAGTGGCGGCTGAAATGTATACGACGCACACAAAGGGAAAAATGTCCCAGTGACTCACAGTTGCCAATACAAATGGAATAATTAGAATTCATTGCACAAGGATTTATATATACTGTATATACACCAAATTGAATGGCATCTAGCCATCTGATTGGCTAACAATCAGAAAATGAGTCCCAGCACAGTCCCAGGACAGATGATTGTGAAATGGTGATAGCATATTAGGAATGTGCAGAGCTGATAGATTAGCAACTGTAAAGGTAGAAAAAAGTCAACATTGCATTGGTCATTTCCTAAGTATTAATTCATATGTTTTGTTAGTTTCAATCCCATATGAAAACACACATTTAAAGGTCCCCTATTATACTGTTTTTCATCAATATATTACAGGTCTCAGATATATACAGAAAACATGTATCTGAAGTGTTTGGCTCCAAACACCAAACAGATCATTGCAGCATTACCCATAATCCCCTCTGTTTCAGCCCTGTTTCAAAAGTGCTGATTCTCTGTCTGTTACTTTAGATGAAAATAAGGAGCCACTCCCCACGCCCCTCTGAGAGATATTTGGTTAAAAAGAACACAATGGTGCTCTAGGAGGAGATTCAGGTGATAAGGTGGGGGGGGGGGGGGGGGGGGGGGGGGGGGGGGGGGGGGGGGGGGGGGGTTACCTTAGTTGGTGATTGGCTAATGGTTACACAAGCCAAACAATCGTTATGACATCATAAAGTGGCCAAAATCTGATCAGCTCATTTTCAGACAGGTTTTTATATAAATGGATCAGGACAAAAAGAGAGAGAATCTTTGTTCCTGAAACTTTCAGAATCTCTTTACACAGAGGGGACACATGTTGATGTAGAAAAGACATGAAAAATAGGACTTTGCACAATAGGTGACCTTTAAGGTATTTCTTTGCCTTTGCGTTGCTTCCTCAGTTCCTGTCGGAGGTTGATGCCTGGTGTAAAGTGTGCAGTGAGGGGGGGGTTGCCGTCCGAAATGCAGGAGCTGGAAATCGCCATCCATCGCCACCAGAGTCTGTACGAGCAGGTGTCCCAGGCTTACACCGAGGTAAACCTGCAACACAGCTGACAACACAACCTCAGCCCTATTCACACGGGCCATGTATAAGCAGGGGATCTAATGTCGTTTAGAAAAAAACAAACACCCCACAGTTATATTTGCTGCAGCTACAAGCACAAACAAACACATCTGAAGAAAATTGGTAAGAACAAGTTATAAGATCATGTTCTCTGTACTGTAAATACAAACATCTTTGATTACTTAAAAGCAGTGTTTGCTGGAGCTGCTCTTTGCTCTATTGCTTTGAGTAAGAAATAAAGCAGTGCCTGTGTTCTCTGCAAAGCATTGGTTGTATCACCAGTTTAATACAAACTCCCAAATGTAATTCAATGATCTACCTCCTATAGCATGCATTGGACCTTGATTTTTGAATTATCTTCAGAACTAACCATGTAAAAAATACTTTAAAGCTTGTTTTCATTTTTAAGAGTAAGATGTCTTAATGAGTAAAAAAAAACTCTGGAAAAGTTCCTTCTCTATTAAAGCAGTTAAACAATGATTTAGATGTACGACATATTTCTTAAAATGCACATAACGATTGACAAACAGGATGTTACAGCCAGTCCTCAGCAACAAAAAAACCCCCTGGAAATGACATTATTGTTTGGTTTTTAATGATCTTCACTTAAGAAATAACAATGAAACTTTATTTGAACGTCAATTTCAAGAACAATGCAATCCAAAGTGATTTACACAGGACATAAAAGCATTAAGACATACAATAAACTGCAATACAAAAGACACACAGATCTTATGCAGAAAAGGCAACAGTGCTTAATGCTTATGTGAACGCAGTGGTTCCAGTTGTTTGCATGTATCATTGAGCAATTAGCAGTAAGAAGAGAAATGCTGATTCAGAAGGTTTATATGTATGTGAAGGAGGAGAGAGAAAAAAGAGGAGAGAGAAGATGCAAACCTGATTCCAGTCAAAATAAGTTTAACTTTTTGCAAATCTCTACCTTTTTCCAGTCTTAATCTACCTGTTCTATCTGTATGTCTATGTCTAATCTCCTTTCTAACCTACCTGGCTGTTTGCAGGTGAGTCAGGATGGTAAAGCCCTATTGGACGTCCTCCAGAGGCCTTTGAGTCCCGGCAACTCTGAATCGCTCACAGCCACTGCCAATTACTCCAAAGCGGTCAGTATCATTTATTTTGGCAACAGAGGGGCAGCTTTAAGTAGTTTATATTAAAGTGGACCTATCATGCTATATTTTAATAATATAGTGTAGGACCATACCTATATAAGGCATATTTATATATTTCAAAATACCAAACAGATCATGCATTTTAGCCATGCCTCATTTCGCTCAATTTGCACTTTTTTAGCCATGTTTTTGCAAGGGCTGATTCAGTGAGAACAGCACCATCTACAGGCCTGGCATATGTACTACAGCGTCTCCAGCGCTTTCGAACGGCAATGGCCGTGGCTGTCTCCTCCTGATTGGTGGAGTTGGCCCAATAGCCGTAGCGCCACCGTCCTGACGTCAGGACAGTGTTCAAATCTGGATCAGTTTTTATCAGATCCGTTGCAGCCCCTTTTTTAGAGATTTGGGTATGGAGGAAAATAGAGAGGGTTGTGTTTTCTGACACTTGGTGAGTTCCCTGGAACACCGGGGACACATTCATGTATAAAAGACGTACAAAAGTACATTTTGCATGATAGGTCCCCTTTAAATTAAAAGCACAAAAAAAGAAAGACTGTGTTACGTTTGTATGATTCCGCAGGTTCACTGCATCCTGGACGTGGTTCACGAGATTCTCCACCATCAGCGGCGTCTCGAGAATATTTGGCAGCATCGAAAGGTCCGACTGCACCAGAGACTGCAGCTGTGTGTGTTCCAGCAAGACGTCCAGCAGGTACACACACAAACACTCACACACAGCGCACACAGCACAAGCCAGAGGAATAAAAACATGAGGAGTGTGTTAGTGGGAGAGAAGAGGGAATATCTTGTTGCTTTTGGATGTAAACGTTGGTTTCTCCAAAGTGACAGCTTTATAGGAACATCGAAAAACAATATTTATTCATACTATACAACTTAATATTGAACTTTTGAGTTCACTGTAAGGTGTTTGAAAGAGGTTAACTCAACAAGGAGGTTGGAGAATTTAGTCGAAGTGGCGCATGTAATCTTGTTTGTAAGCATGTGATCCAGTAAAAAGACGTGTGTGTCTTTGTGTGTCTGTGATAAACTTTGCTGAGCAGAACCGATGAGAATCACTACAACACGTTCATTCATCTCTGCTGTCCTCTTGCCCCGGTCTAACCGTGTGTAATGTGAAAATTCCTGAGATAAAATACTTGCTGGTAACACTGCTCATATTTCACAGACGGGTTTTTGTTTTTTAAAGGTGTGAGCCCAGATTCCTGGAGATTTTATAGATATTAGTTTGCTCAAAATGATTTATGAAGGGTAGTTATAACGAGCAAACTGGATGCCATCAGTGGGGGAGGAGGAAGTCTTGTTTATTACATTTAGTTCTTTAATGTGATTGTGGGTTTGACAGTAATGCAGTAGGAATGAGGTACAACCAAATAATACCACTGGCATTACTGCAACCTCTGGAATCTCAGTAAAGAGTCCACATGTGCGCTCTCTAGAGACTGTTTCCTCCGAAATTATGAACATAAAGTACAGTAACAAGGACACAGAGTGTATCTAATGCAAAACAGCTGAAACCAAGTCTAGGCAATATCATCTGCAGAGATTCAGCCACTTAGGTTTGAACACCATAGAGAACACATTTACTAGGAAGTAGGATGTTAAGACATGTTTGTGTGTATCTTTGCCATTGCAATGATTGCACCTGGCTAACTTCTTTATTATACCAAAAGACTTGGCACATCGCAAACTCAATGAAGTGAGGTTTTGCAGTAACGACTACATTGAGCAATGGCTAAATGAGTATTATTTAACATTGTATTTTTGTATCCAAAGACTTGTTGATACAGTGTGGAAAAAGCACCTTGATATTGGCAGATGTTTGACCCCTTTGTTTGGCTAATTTTCTGGAGGCTAACCAGTCTAAAGCGTGGTTGACTTGCCATGCAGCAATGTCAACACAGTCTCACGGCATTTCGTGTTATAGTCACGAAATTAATCTATTGATTCGTGTTCACCAACACGATTTCGCAATTTTTTTCGTGTCACACAGAACAATTTTAACAGCAATGTAAATAATAACAAATTAGAAGGAAAAACAGATAAAAAAAAATACAGATTTCAGTATTCTGACTCAGAACGATTTTAGAAGCAATGTATTTCTATTGGTGTATGTTTCGTGCCTGCACCAAATAATATCAAATTAGAAGGAAAAATACAGATTTCAGTATTCTGAGTCTCTTTGCCCCATTTATTTTCCTCGTGGACGGCAACATTTAAAATAAAAGGGATAATAGGCTTTAGGGTAAGATATTGAGTAAGAAAATGTTTTTATGAACCACACAGCTTCTGGTCTTCCAAGACCCGACCGGACAAAAAGACGTGGTGCAGGCACGAAACATACTACCAATAGAAATACATTGCTTTTAAAATCGTTCTGTGTGACACGGAAAAAATGCGAAAATCGTGTTGGTGAACACGAATCAATAGATTAAATTAATTTCGTGACTATAACTCGAAATGACGTGAGACTGGGTTGGCAATGTAGCTAACTAGCTAGCTGTAAGATAGTAAGCTAGCTATCCTGCTAGTTTGCTAATTCCACTATGCTCTAAGCTACACTTACTCCCTTGAGGGTCTCTAGGAAGAGAGAATTAGGGCATTTGACGGTCTACTAAATCCAAAGATGGACGTGCACCATGCTACATTTATATGTGACCCAAGAGAGAGTGTGAGAAAGTGTTACAGAGAGGTAAAAGACAAAGAAAGAAGAAATAAAATGGTGCGTGAAGCAGAGATCGTATCAGTAGGTTATAAATTCATTGAAAACAGAGTTTTGCCAACTGTACTGGTCATGCATCAGTTTCTATGAGACTCCAGGGAGAGACAAAGAGACACACACAGAGGGCGAGGGACGTACGTGGGAAGTGAGACAAGGAGCAAGTGAGAGAGTAAGCTCATAGCAATAGACTATAAATCACTGAGAACAGGGCTTCTCCAACCAGAGTTGTAATGCTACAGGATATATGTGACCCCAGAGAGGAAGAGGCAGAGATGCAGAAGTTAAGGCTGAAAGAGAACATATATGATGTGAAGTTTTATTTGGCAGATTTAGCCTCACATTCAAACAAAGATAGAAGGTAGGATAGGACTGTGTATGTGCTCTGAACTTTCTCTGAACTCTTTGTGGCTGCAGCTGCAATGACTACACTACACTGACGTCATGAATTACAACACGGTTCATCCCTAATCTCGGTTCCCCACTGACAAAGAGATGTCAGTGGGGGAAAAGGTTCTCAGATATTATATACTTTATTACATGACAAAAGGGCCAAAACAGCCACTGGTTTATTCTTTATATACGCATTTTATTTTCTAAGATAATCATATAGTTTTTGTTTATGTTCTTATGTTACTTTAAAAATTATCTGGTAACCACATCTGTCAAATACATGTAGTGAAGTAAGAAATGCCCTCACAGTACATCTAAAATGTGGAGAGTCAAGGTAGCAAACAAAGGAAATAATCTAGAAAAGTACTTCAAAATTGTACAATAAATTACTTGAGTAAAAGCACTTGATGTAGAGATGTATTAATGTGGCCCTAAAAGGATTGTTTATTTGTCCTTTTTTAGGAGTAAATGTTAAGTGTTCTACCTGTTTGTATCCGTGAAATTGGTGTTTTTATGTTTGAGTACTCTTGGAAGAATGACCTTCAAACATCCTTATAAAAAATCAACTCAAACCAAGGACAAATGCTCTGTTTCGCAATATCAACAAAAGTTTTAAAATATATATTGTGTTTGTGCCTTGTGATTGATGTTCTCTAAAAGTAATTTGTTTTTCCTTGGCCCGGGCAACATCCTTCCATTCCTGACAAAAAACCAAAGACAAACTACCCAACCCCTGTTTAGCAAATTAATATAAAGCAAGGGATGGTGCCTGCCAGTCGTCTGGCAATCACATCAATAGAGACATTTGGTCTACAATAGTCTAATGGTACAGACATTCAACATCCTCTCCTTCTCAGCTGCAGTGACCTACATTTCCCACGGTGATCATGGAGGTTTCATCTCCTACATTCATAATTCATGAGGTCTGAGACCATTTTGTACTGCTGATCTGACTGTACACGGTTAGAGCAGAGGGTTCAGCAGGTTGCCTTTAATCCTGAGTGTGTGTTAGGAGGTGATGTAAAGATGATCTTTGTGTTCTCTCTCTTTTCAGGTGATGGACTGGATAGAAAACCACGGCGAAGCTTTCCTCAGCAAACACACTGGTGTTGGGAAATCCCTTCACAGAGCCCGAGCCCTGCAGAAAAGACACGACGACTTTGAAGACGTAGCTCAGGTAAGTCTGTTTGTTTACATTTGATCCAATCCAAGCATCATTTAATAATAAAAGGCCACAATGATCAATACTATAAATCAACAGTTTTTCCTTTTCTGTGCTGCTTTTCTTTGTTTTTGTCATCACACTGCAAACAAAGGGGGATGAGTTGACACTAAACAGGCAACATTTGATTGTTTTATTTTAACAGTAAAGCAGTTACACCTGCAGCTCATGTTTTCAGTACTGACGTTGAATTTCTAAGAGCACACTGTCTGTAAAAAGATGATTAACTTCTTGAGCTCAGGAGTCAGTTCAATTCCATGTGTGAACCCTCATTTACAGTGTCAACATTACACATAAAAGATCTACTTCTACATCGTACAGTTTGAGGGTAGTAGTTTGTTTCTATCAATGTTTATTCACTTGCCTTTCAAACATCTGTTAGCAATCTTCCTTGATTAATCCCAAATTTCCCAAAAAACACCATGCCTGGTGGCGGCAGGAAGCATGAAGACATTTCTCCGCGTAACCATTTATGGTTACAAGTCTTTCCTGACTAATCTGCAGAAGATGTTATCCATTCCTGAATTTCATTACTAAAGTTTATCATGTATGAAACACTAGATTTGGAGCTAGAGTTTTGGTGATGAAGATGAAAACAAAACAAAGAAACATGTTGAAGCTCACATAAGAGATTTCATAACATGTCAGAGGGAATGTGGCTCGTGTGCAAAGTCAATGCTGGTATGAAAATGATTTAAAGGAGAGGTGTCATGCTTTTCCGGTTATTACCCGTCCCCTTGTGTGTTATGAAGGTTTTTATGCATGTAAACGGTCTGCAGAGTCAAAACCCTCAAAGTACACCCTGTAGCGAGTAAAACTCGAACACAGAAAATACCTCCCCAAAACGCCTCGTTGGAGATTTCTAATTTTCCATTGTTTACTTCCTGGGTATCGCTACGTAGGGATACCCAGTAGCCACGCCCAGAGTTATGACGCGATACGGTCATGCGGTACCCGGAACCAAATGGACCAATCCGTGGAGCCGTTACGTTACGTCCGCGGAGCCGTTACGTTTAAGCCCCCCGCTGATTGGTCCAAATTGACCAATCCACGGACTTCCTCACACACAGGCAGCTCTGCTGATTTCTCCTCCCTGGCTGCAGGCTGATAACAGACAGTTGGGATCGCGGCGAAATTCTCTCAGCAGACCCATTCTCACAGCGTTTATCAACCTTTTTCTTACTCAATATCAAGCCACACTTATTGTTTTTACTTCGGATGTGACTTTGTGTGTGCTCAGGATGAGTTTGGCTGTGTTTGGCTGTGTGTCGCTAACAAGGAAACAACACCTCCACGGAGCTCAGCGCGATTCACAACGTCCCGACCAATCAGAGCACACTGTGCTCACAGGGAGGGTGGGGGCTGGAGCTATTGGAGCTACAACGAGCCGTTAAAGGGCAGAGAGTGAAATTCAGTGAATACACGTAGTTTACAGAGATGCTGTATGAGAAACCAATGTGAGTTTGGAAAAATGCACAGTATAAATCTATTTTAGTATACCTCAACAATGGAATTATGAACGGTAGAAATGGCCATGACACCTCTCCTTTAAATAGTGTTATAGTAAAAATAAAAACACAAAATATGAAGCAAACACTAGTGACATTTTTCTGTTGAATATTGAATAGTGCATGGACATGATTATTACAGAACACTTTGTTCTTCATCACTATATACCAAAACTGTCAGTACAGCCTTAAAGAAGCAAGAAGAGGTTATATATCGGCTCATATTCAATGGAAACCTTGAGGGCTTTGAAGTGGATTGGTTGCTGTAGGTGCGTGATGTTCTTCTTTATTGAAGTTGTCAGTTGTCTGGTTTGATTTGTTTTAAAGTCCTCAGATCGCAGACATACAGTATGTGTGTGTTCATCTCAAAGCCTTTCTTTAGAGACTGAATGTTATCATCAAATCTTTACCGTCTCTGCAGCTCCATAATAAGCCTTAACACATGCACACTGCGGATCACCATGGTGTCAAGTTATATTTTCTGCTCTTTTCGTTCCCCATCTTGTTCTCGTCATTTTTATTTTGTCTTTCTTGCCTGCTTAATGGAGCTGATATCCCAACACCTTTCCCCATTTGCCTCAGCCGTTCAATCTATTTTATCCTTGAAGCTTTCTCAACAATTTGCACCACCCTGAGTGCTTTCTAGTCTTGAAAACCCCCTGAATGTGGTTTATTATATCCTCAAATCAAACTAGCAGGGCACTCAGAAGACCTTCGCCAAAGCCAAATGCCCTTTTACTACCATGTTTACAAAAGTCAAAACTAATTTGTGTTCCTCTCCGAGATTTGGATTTTCTCCAATAATCAAATAATGAGTGTAAATCCTATCACCCCAGCCACAAACTGTTCTTTCTGTTGCCGTCTGGCAGACGTTACCGCAGCATCCTGGCAAAAACAAAAAGATTCTGAGACAGTTTCTTCCCGCGGGCAGTGAGACTGTTAAACAATTGAACTGCTGAAACAATTTCAAAACATTAATCTGCTACTTAGTAATATATATCTACTATCTAATATATATCATTCCAATAACTTGTATATAGACTCGTACTGCACTATTCCACATACTCACTTTATTTAGAACTATTTTTCTTTTTGTATTACTTTTACTATCTGTATTATTATTATGTTGCATTGTTGGAGAAGCCTGTGACATAAGATTTTCAACAACATAATTACTCTGTAGCTATGTTAGTTTGACAATAAAGAACCTTGAACCTTGAACCTTGAACCTTGAAGAGTATGTAGCCGCGTAAACTGATGTTTACATTCTGGATTAGGATTAACCTTCATAACATGCTGGATCAGCATTATTTGGGTCAGACGCTCTGCCTCGGTTTCTTCCCATTTTTTCCTCAATTATCTTTTTTTTGCAGTGTTTTGCTGGTAAAATCCCCTCCACTTAGCAATTATACATAACATTAATACATGAGACGCCTTTAAGGAACATGCCAAAAGATGAATATGTAATCATGTTTACCCAAATTAGCTTTGACTTTCTCTTTTACATACAAACACCAAGACATGCTAGGACTTAATGAGTGTGTGTGTAGTGTGTGTATATGGTGAGTTTTTATGAAAATGTAATCCCCATTTACCATCATTACAGCTAGTTTATTTTTAGCTCTCCTCGTCTACATCAGATTAGATGCTTCGCCATTAGATCCGACCAAACATCAAACAGAAAGACCCAAAACTCCTTCACTCTCAATAAAGTCTTCATTCTGCAGCTTCTTCCAACTGCCTTAAATCTTAGTTTCTCTAGGGAGGGTAGACTTTAACTCTTCGAATACCAACATTAAAAGGTTGATAGGGACGGTAGACTGTTAAATGTTGTACTGTACATGAGACGTCAATTCAACAAAAAAGGCTTCTTCTTCCAATGTTACATCTCCGTTTATTTATTATTTTTATATGTATATATTTATTTTAAAATCATTGAATTACATATTTTATATTATTACTGTGCCGGTAATTTGTTCGGTTAATGTACATGTATGTACCTTTCAAGTAATTCATTTATTAATGTCTAAAAAAGTCAGTCTTGGTCTTGTACAGTATATCCAGGTGCCGGGGATGTTTCAGCGTTCCTGTCACCCCCCCCCCCCCTCATGTAATCCTCATGCTAAACCACAGCAGTCATGCATGAAGAGTAATAATCTCTTGTAAATTATAATCTTTATCTCCTGTCTAATCCCTCTGAAATGTGAACCATCCAGACTTTAAGCTTTCTCCCAGACTCATATTCTTGAATAATTGGGATCATAATGCAATATATATTTCTAACTCCAGCACCCAACCCCTGAACCGCCAGTCACACAAAGATATCTCACATGTAATATTTCCTGAAGTAAAATGTTCCCTTGGTAATCTCTCATACTTACACCGAAAGTAATCCAGTTTGTCCTCCTGATGAATGCTACGAGCTTTAACACACAGACTGGATTCAGTCCATTTTTGGTGATAATAGAGGTACAGTAGAAACAGGAAACAACGCCATGTCGATTTACAGAAACTGGATTAACATACATGATCCGACAGTGATTGTGATTTCCTGAAGCAGTGTAATCCCGGTGCAGCTGTGGTGTTTAGGTGTTTAAATTAGATCTGAAAAACCACTGGAGTGACACCAAAAATAGCCCAAAATGGAGAAGTATTATTTTATGTTTTATGATAATAGTGAGAAAAGATTGAGAAAACTTCCAAAAATGTACATCTATGAAGAATAATAAAAACAAGTCACATGATAATGGTAAATAAATATAATGATTGAGAAGGTGACTATTCAGCTTGTAGTGACAATAAGGAAGATGATGATGAGAAATGTGAAAGTCATTACGTTATTTGATTAGATTAGATTTAGATTCATTTTTATTGCACATAGTACAATGAAATGCAATTTACATCCAACCAGAGATTGCAAAGAGTAGATAAAGAGCATGAGGTTACAATAACAAAGTTGTTGCATATGTGTAGCAAGTTACAGATACGTTTTTATAGATATGAAATAAATATTGAGACAAGGTGTACGTTTTGAAGCATATATGGAGAAAACCAAGTATCAAGAATTCTTGCCGGCTATACAATGTATTCGCACAGCTTTACTAGGTAGAAAAACTTGAAAAAAGTAAACGGATTATTACTCATTTGCAGAAACTGGGACTAGTGCATTAACCTGCATCTTGCACTACTGATGCAAATGCATGCATACAAATAAATAATTCCATGACCAAATTATAGAACTTAGCTAATACAGATATTAATCATGTTGGTGTTGCGTTTGTTGCCTATGATGATGTTGATGATGAAGGTCCTTCCTCCTCTTCCCCTCTCAGAACACGTACACTAATGCGGACAAGTTGCTGGAAGCGGCAGAGCAGCTAGCTCAGACCGGAGAGTGCGACCCTGAGGAAATCTACAAGGCCGCGCGGCACCTGGAAGTCCGAATCCAGGACTTTGTCCGCCGGGTGGAACACAGGAAGCTGCTGCTCGACATGTCCGTGTCCTTCCACACACACACCAAGGAGGTGAGACACACACAAACTAAAGAAAGAGACACATTCTCCGACATCTTGTTTCGGCATAAGAGCTCTACCTGAATGAATTATTCATTGTTCATTAAACACAGAGACTCTGATATGTGATAAAGTGTGTAATTGCAGGTTTGAGTCCAAATAGGACAAACTGTTTCCTCTGCTACAATTACACTGTCATGTATTTTACATTAACATAGTTAACATCTTTTTTTATATACAACTAAACAACACCCCACTTTTTCAACCCACCTTAAGATGTGGTAAACTCACCTAGAAGATCTGGAAGAAAAAGTATATATATATTTATATGAATCATTTAGCCATGCCCACATGACATGTTTTAACATTTGGCTTTTCCTTATCTGGGCATTTTTTAAATGGACAAAGTAATAGTGAACAGTCCGTTTCAAGTACAAGATGATAAATAGAAATAATAAGTTCTATAATTCGACCTATATACTGTATACCGTGGTCTGCATTGTATGCATTGTATATGCTAACCTGTGTGTCTGTCTGATTGTCTGTGTGTCCAGCTGTGGTCGTGGATGGAGGAGCTTCAGAAGCAGCTGCTGGATGAGGTTTGCTGTGATTCTGTGGATTCGGTGCAGACTCTGATCCAGCAGTTTCAGCAGCAGCAGACGGCCACACTGGAGGCAACGCTCAATGTGATTAAAGAGGGAGAGGAACTAATGCAGCAGCTCAGGTAAAAACACAATTCATACTTAAAACATCATCAAACTGTTTATTTAATACACCCACTTGTTTAGGTTGAGTATAAGGTCCTCTAGTTTGTCATTTTTTTCTGTATTTCATTTACATAATCTTAGATAAACTTGATATCAATCATTCGAAGTGAAATCTTTGAGTTTTATAGATTTGGCCTTTTTTTAATTTAATCAAATATGAAAACTTATTTACATCATGTTTGAAAAACTCCACTGCCTATAATGTGGGAGGACTTGTTTAAGACCTATATGGTATAATGTATCCCTCTGTCTTTCTCTCCACAGAGACGCAGCCATGTCGACCAATAAGACGCCTCACTGCAGTTCCATCGCTCACATCCAGGGGGTGCTGCAGCAGCTGGACGAGGCTCAGGGTCAGATGGAGGAACTGTTCCACGAACGCAAAATCAAACTGGACATCTTTCTCCAGCTACGCATATTTGAGCAGTATACTATAGAGGTGTGTGTGTGTGTGTGTGTGTGTGTGTGTGTGTGTGTGTGTGTGTGTGTGTGTGTGTGTGTGTGTGTGTGTGTGTGTGTGTGTGTGTGGTGTGTGTGTGTGTGTGTGTGTGTGTGTGTGTGTGTGTGTGTGTGTGTGTGTGTGTGTGAGAGTGTGTGTGTGTGTGTGTGTGTGTGTGTGTTCAACATGAAAGTGGATTCAGACAGGAACTACACTTACTATTCTGACGGAAATACACTGTTGCTTTTCAAAGCACAACTCATTATGAACATCTGAGGAGTTCAACAAAGCTCTGCTTTAGGTCCCCTGAGTTTCTTTTTCTGAGGGCCCTGACAGACCAGGCCGACCTCAAAGAAGTAGCACTGACTAAAGCAGACTTGTATTGCTTCACATCTTCTGTTACGTAAGAAGTGCCCTGGCAAAAAAAATAGTAATTATTAAGAGACTGTTCTTAGTTTATTCTCAGAACACAAACTGAATGTGTCTCGGAAAAAGTAAAGTTTTATTTCACATTGGCCTTTAATGTTCAGTCTTTGCTGGTTTTTGCATGTGGAAAAATAGTTAAAAATGTGTGAAACCACTTATCTGCTTATCTGAGTAACTAGTCAGAGAGCTTTTACTTCTTTCTTACTGCCTACCACTGCCTACATTGTGTAGGTTAACTTTTGTAGCACTTATCTGTGTGGGAGTGTTACATTGTGTAGGTAGGTTAACTGTTTTGTGTTGTAGCACTTGGTGGTAGTGTTACTTGGTATTGCATCGTCTATTGTGATAGTGTTGCAGAGCTCGGAGCTTCCCTCAGTTAACAGTTACCTTGTTAGGAAGCTTATTTTGTGCTACCTGTAGAGTTCCCTATAGAGCCATTATGGAGTTTGACCTGGAAGAATTTTGTGAGGATCCTGACACAGAGCAGCTTTCACATTGCACCAAAGCGCAGCTCTTGTCAGTTGCAGAGCATTATCATATTGATGTCTGTCAACCTCCCGTAAGAAGGATGAAATCAGACTCCAGATAGTCTCTGTCCTCATTGAGCAAGGAGTGTTGCCGAGGGACTCTGATGAATATAGGAAACGGCATGGTAGGAAAACAGAGCAGGAAACCCTGCAAACTCAAGCTGAGCAATCGCTGCATCTACGTGAGCTTGAACTTCAGTTTACTTCAGCAGTCACTGATAGGAGCTAATTAGAGCCAGTTAGAGACAGTTAAAAAAACAATAGTGGCACCCACTGGCTTCTGACTCTTGTTGTGTTGTTAACTATGTCTGTGTGTGTCTACACTTCTTCTGTTCCTGCAGGTCACAGCAGAGTTGGATGCCTGGAACGAGGATCTGTCTCGACAGCTGGGCGACGGCAGCCGATCGGGCGGCAGCAGCGCCAGCAGCACCGGGGGGGGCGGCGCCTCCTCCGGCGGCGCAGAGGAGATCGGCCTGGCAGAGCAGCGGCTCAAACGACACGCCGAGAGGAAGGCAGCCATGAACAATATGACCTACGAAGTGATGCAGCAGGGCCAAGACCTGCACCAGTACATCATGGAGGTCCAGGCTTCAGGTAAAACACACACACACACACACACACACACACACACACACACACACACACACACACACACACACACACACACACACACCACACACGCACACACACACACACACACCTTGCCATTCCCTTTTTTGTTAAGCACTTGAGTTCACACATGGAATCATTATGCATCTTAAGTGTTTCCCAAGTGACAAATCTTAACAGAATAAAATGTCATGCCATGCAGGCAGACCCAATTGCTGTTTACTTTGAACCTTAGATAAACTGTGTTTGGGAGATTTTGTGGCGCTTAACATACACTACAATAAGGCAGTAATATTCTTTTATCGCTTTAAGGGAGGCATTTGCATTCACACTGCGCTTCAGATCCGGTTGCCCGCTGAGCCGGCTCACATCTGGATTTACAGCTGCACACTGTATAATGAAGGAGAGGGAGAGCCTGATGCTTTGGCTGCATTATGAACTGTGATCCCAAAGGAAAGCATGTTGTGTGTAACAGGGAGAGAATTAGGTTACAAAATCGTCACAGCCCAATCCTCTTACTGTGTGTGATGTTTGTGAATACTGTATGTGGAGGTCAGCGCCTCAGTCACACTGCCCCATGGAGTGTTACATCTCTGTCAGCCACACACACACACACACACACACACACACACACACACACACACACACACACACACACACACACACACACACACACACACACACACACACACACACACACACACACACACACACACACACACACACACACTCTTTCTCTATAATCACCAGCCACTGGTGAAATAGGGCATTAATAGTTAAATGGTTTTACAGACTGAGTACAGACACACATATTTCTCTTTTACTCACTGCCTTCAACGTATAAAATATCTAAGTAAAAATAAGATTATATATATATACAGGAATCAGATGCAAAATAATTTGCAATGGGAAATAATATTTACTTAGAAATATCAATAACTTTTTAATAATGTTTGTCACTATTTATTGTATGCTTCTGCACTAATTTAGGATCTTTTGCACCAATATAAGAGAGGCAGGAGTGGTTAGTTAGGGCTTATGATTACATTTGTATGCAAGTTATTTTAGAATGTGAGTTAAATGTATGTAATTGATAGAGTAGTTTTTTTTTTTTGGGGAAATGTTGACCTTCTTTCTTTGCCAAAGTGAGATGAGTACACAGCTGGAGTTGGGACACGTCCAGCCTAGTTTAGAATTAAGAGTTGTATACACACACATTTAAAAATTAATCTAAAAGTGTCATTTTAGACGGTTATATGTTGATGTACACTGAGGGATGAGTCCATGTCTTTCCAGAGCAGAATTACAGAA